TTTGGTTGCTAGCAGGACTACGAACATCTTGTTCCTTTCACTGGAAAGCAAATCTGGGCTAAATAAATCCAGAGTGAGTCATGTCCTGCTGCTGCCGAAAAAAAAGAAAAGGAAATGAAATTTAGACGAAAATAATCAACCCAAAAAAAGATGCATTCATGTTTTTTTTCCCCTTATTTTTAACCAGGTAAACATGCTGCACCCTTTTTATTATGTTTTATATCTATATTGATTGAACGATTTGATCGACTAAATGATTAAATCGTATAAATAAAGTTGACACAGTCTGCAGAAAACGGACACTTCAGGATACAGACATGAAAAGTTTTTTAACGTTAAATGAAAAACGTATTTACTTTTCTACCGTTTTGGTTTAATTACTGCTCTGAGTGTGTTCTTTCAGCCAATGGCCTTTTTTTTTATTGAGTCTGTATATTCCAGCTGACAATTAATCGGTCACTAAATTAGTTGATGGCAAATTTTAATAACAAATCCATCACGATTAATCATAATATTCGTTTTGGCTGTGCCAAATTTCCCCCTGGTTTTCAGATAATCAGGTTTCTCAGTCCCTGCCAGGTACTGACAAACCTGGCAGGGAAAACAAGACCGTGCAACACGAATCCCACAGATATAAATTACGTGGCTCTGTTCTGGTTCTCTGTGTTTTGTGCTGCTGGTTTTAGTTTCACGCAGGATCAGCCTGTTCAGTCACACTTGAGCAAAAAGCAATCAACCATGGAGATGGGCCTGATTTTTTGTTTAGGTTTTTGTGGGGGGGGGTCAGATATTTTAGATATCCGCATGGCTTCACATTAAAATAGTGGTGGGTGGGAATTAAAGATGCAGTGATCAAAACCAGGGGGAAAATGACAGAAGTGGAATGTGACGATTTTTCTAGCAACTATTTGAGCCACTAGTTTAGTTTATAGTGTAAATATCTTAGTACATTTTTAATAAGACAAAACCAACTTACAAGTAACCTTTCAGTTAAAATAGGAGCTTAATTTAAGTCAATAACTCCTTAATATTGATGAAACAGTACTAGCTCCATCAGCAGATTATTATGCTTAATATGAGACATTTTTCCCATATTAGAAGTGAAATAATCTGCCAATTGAGCTAATACTTTTCAACAGCATTAAGAAGTTACTGACTTAAATCAAGCTCCTATTTTAACTGAAAGGTTTCTTGTAAGTTGGTTTTGTCTTTTCTTCAAGTGAGCCAAGATATTTGTACTTGAAACTGGATAAAAATACTTGGTAGATCTGCACATTCTGCACACACACCAGCTAAGTCTATAGACCAAAGATATTTGACTGTGTGAGGGTTTTCTTTGTTTTTGTATCGACTTATGCTCCTTACCAGGATATATCTCAGGGAGAATAGTAAATATTACTTTCTTCTCTTGCAACAAAATGGAGAACTTGATTTGGCTAAGAAATTGTGGCTTTTAGTTTTCCTAGGGGACAAAACGTTTGCCGTCTGCTGTGCTCGTTGACGCTTGTTTTCTGTTGCTTTTGCACATCCAACTGGATTTGGAACATCTGATCCTCAAGCAGAAAACTGGATGAACTGCCAGGAAATACAGTTCAGTTATCCGTACTGCTTACTGGATGAATCCCACGAACATTGGTGAAGCCTCATGTGTGTTTTTCTTCTTTTTCCCACCAACCTCTGTGTGCACCGAATACTTTTGAGGATTGGGATTTTCATTAAGTGGACAGTTATGGTTTAGATTTAAAAGAGGAATCTTTTTCAAATTACTTTAAAAAGTGCTCCCCAATTCCTTACAGATATTGCAAAAGGAATTGCTGTGTCACATTTCGGACAATGCGCTTGGATATTTAGATTTTAAAATTAACTGAAAATGTACTGAACTACACCGTTTCAGTTTTGTCTTTCTATTTAAGAGGAGAGAACCTTTATCCCAACTCTAACTCGACAATTGTTGAAGGAAAGTCGAGAGAATTTCCATTTGCAGGCATAGAAAATGTGGAAGGAGGAACTCTGGTTTCAAATGTTGGACTGCATGCGAAACGTTGCTCTGGCAGAAAACTTGCACTCTGTCTCCCTCAGCATTCCATCCCCCACAGTGAAACATGGTGGTGGGAGTATCATGCTGTGGGGATTCTTTGGGGGGCTGACAGACGGAGGTAAACACAGAGCAATCCTGGAAGAAAACCTGGAGAAATCCTTAAAATACCCAAGAATGTGGCTGAGGCTCACTTACCAGCACGACAATAATCCTAAAGATATCACCATAGCAACAATGAAATGGTTTACATCAGGGGCTGTAAGAGAGCTAAGCCAAGCTACCAACCTGGCTTAGCAAGTTGTGAGAGATTGAGCAGCTAAAGCTTTTCCTCAGCCTACATCCCCCAGAATGCTGTGCGGTTCTGGCACAAAGCTCAGTGAAATTCTAGAATATCCTATCAGATATATTTTCAGTTGATACTGATCACATGTCTATCGCGACGTATATTATTGATTTACTGTCAATCCTGGGTTTTTAGCCTTGGTTTAAGTTTAATCTTGAGTCTTGAGGGTAGCAGGGTGTTAGTCAAAGAGGTGAAAACTTAATAAAACCCACAGACGTTTGTGGTTGGAACACGATAGAATGTGAAAATGTGATGAATACATCCACATTGGCATGACTGTATTCTGAATAAATTTCAGAAGAACAGTAAACATTTTAAGGAATTCAAGCTACTACCCCCCTGAGCATCATGGTTTAACGTTTAGGGATTAGCTGAGCGCAGCTGAGTTTATACGAATCTTAAAAGTTGCAAGCGGGGAAACTCCAACTAAAAACAAAACATCCTACTGAGAGACCCATGGTCCAACATTTAGGAAGCAGGCTCCGGTTAGGAGTTCAACATCTTTCTGTGACTTCATTGTGAGGCCGCACAGCCAAACCTCAGGCATCCTCTTACAATAAAAAGGCTGATTTATCTCCCACCCTGTTTTGAGCCTCTTCTGGTTCCGTCTTGTTTGAAACGTGCAGCGGGCTGGCAGTCGCGGTAACCGCACCTCCTGCGTGCGGTCGGTCCGTGGTTCCTGAAGGCAACACGCTGCTCTGCTTAAGAGAAGTCCTTCCTGCTGAGGGGAAAAACCAACAACTCAAGTTCAAATGAACTGAGCTGAGACTGAGTAAGCATCCTTCAAAAATGCTTCCATTTAGCAGATGTAGGAGCCTCCTGGGAGAGGAAGGAAGTTGCTTTATGTTCTTGGTGTTGTACCTCACTGCCATCCATCCATTGTCGTCCACATCTATGAAACCAGGTTGTTGAGGCAAACCTAGACACCTCTTTCCCCTGGCAAAGTTCCAACTCACGTTGGGGATCCCAGAGCGTTCCCAGGTCAGAAGGGATAAATATTCCCTCCTCCGAGTTTTAAGCTGTGCCTGGAAAACCTCCAAAGGGAAATTCAGTGGAAGACTCTTGATGAGAAAGCGCTCTACTCCGAGCTCCCCAGGAAAAACTGAGTTCCTCATCCAATGTTGAAGGCCAAGAGATCGGGTGAAGAGATGCATTTCAATGTTTCTACAGGATCTCGCTCTTCCCGTGATCCCGTGACTATAGGTTAAGATCAGACTGTTGGACTGATGAAACAGTTTGTTTGGCCCAACTGTTCCTTGAACTGAGCCTCACGTCTGCCAGAGCATTAGCTTGTGTGTGTGTGTGTGTGCGTGTGTGTGTGTGTGTGTGTGTGTGTGTGTGTGAGAATGGGAGAATGACAGAATGTAGTGTGAAGGGTTTGTGGTTCTCTAAACTTGATAAAGTCAGACTGAAGCAGTTCCCATGTTGCTTCAGACAAGAACTCTGTTCATCCTCTTTCAACACCATGCTACCTGCAAGACATCAAGATGCTTCAAACTAAAACTTAAATCATGGCTAAAAACTGGAGCTGGGCAATTAACCAATGGTGATTCCACTGATCATGGTGATCCATGGTGATCATGTGTCACCATGGACACATGATCAATGTCAATAGAAAATAAGTCCAATAGAATGTTCAATAATTTCACTGAACTCCGATCCAGAACCGAACAGCATTCTGGGGGATGTTGACAGAAGAAAGGAAGACTGGTGGCATCAACTAACTCACTCTCTCTCTCTAACTTGTGCAGCAGCAGTTTCATATTTCGCCACCGTGCCTCAAAACTGCTTAAAAAAATATATATATATGTTGTGGAGTGAAAACTGTGGATAAAACAGGAAGAGTCATAAATACCAATTTGGTATTTCAGATACGTAAAACTAAAACCTAATCCAGAATTATCCATATCGACTAATAGGGACTAATACGACTAAAACATATGTTTTTCAGCCATATCAAGTCCTACTAAAAACCAACCTGTTTAGAAATGCCTCTGATTCATAGTAACTGGAACATTTACCAATATATCTGATGTTTATTTGCTTGATTTTGACAATTGTGTTTGATAAGATATGTTGACTTGCTTCATAATTGGTGACTGTTGTGATGTTTGTATGGTATAAAGTACTTTGAACTATCTTGTTGCTGAAATGTGCTATACAGATGATTAACAAACAAAACATATGAATAATTATGATGTTCAGCTTGAATTATATTTGTATCAGGATGATGCTTCTATCTTATTGGTATTGCTTGATATAACCCAGGAACCTGTGAACTCCACTTTAGTTTTTAGCTTATAGTCACCCTGGCCCGGTGATTATAAGTACTTTGGGCCCTATGCTTTGGGTTTACCATGGAAACCCAAAGCATATTGATGTTAAAGTGGAAAATGGGTCTCAATTTAACATGCAGAACAAAAGAGACTGAAAAAGTTTTTCAAATGTTTCATTTCACCAAGTAATTAGTTTCAAAGATGACTTGAGCAAATACAAAAGGCAGTTTTCAATTCATGATGTATTGTATGAAAGATATGAAAGCTATCCAAACCAGGTGAAAAAAGCCATTTAATGGTTGGTTTAAAAAAAAAAAAACCCTATGGTTTCCTGTCTCGTCAGGAACTGGATGCAGTCCGGATCTGCTCTTCTTCTTGTGTGCCATGTACGCCCCGATCTGCACCATCGACTTCCAGCATGAGCCCATCAAGCCCTGCAAGGCGGTGTGTGAGCGGGCGAAGTCCGGCTGCGAGCCGGTGATGAAGCGGTACAACCACAGCTGGCCCGACAGCCTGGCCTGCAGCGAGTTGCCGCTGTACGACCGCGGAGTGTGCATCTCACCTGAGGCCATTGTCAAGGCAGACGGACCAGGTATTGACATAATCATTCATAAAATGGCTGATGGGTAGAGGACATTCTGAACTTCTTATCTGCACCGAGCCGTCAGGGTGTAAATCGTAGTCCGCCAAGATGACAGACAGACTTCAGATTATTTTGTTGTTAAAAAAAAAACCCTCAAAGAACAGTCAAATATGGAAAACATTCTGTTAATGTGACCCCTGGAGTAAATCATAAAAAGTTTCTGCTACACATAATATTTATCTTATTTTAGGATAATTTTACTAGTTTGCAAAGATATATAAATAATAAAAGCATCCACCTGCATCAACCGCGCCCCTGAGGCCTAAACAAAATAATTCAGACGGCTGTAAATGGGCCCTAGACCATACTCTGGACACTCCTGGGCTAAATGCTTATTTTTTATAACTCAACATTTCCTTATTTTTAAAAGAACTAGTTCCATTGGCTAATTACTTCACTCGTAGCGAGACATTTTCCCCTTGTAAAAGGTGAAATAATAATCTGGCAATGGAACAAGTACTTTTTGTCAATGTGAATAAATTAACAAGCTCCTGTATCTTGCTGAAAAATTACTTGCAATTTAGCTTTGCCCCTTTTTTTAAGTGTAATAAGACATTACACTTAATGTCTTATTACACTTGCAGTGTAAAAGTTGACCTATTCAAGTAAATCCCTCTGACTTCCTGTTGCCTGTAAATGCCACAAGTTGAAGGACCTTTATGGATAAGTTTCTAGGCTGCCTCTGATCTAGCATGCTATCTCTCTCTCTCTGACAGACGGGGCCCGTTTTCCCAGAGAAGCCGAGTCCTATCAGCGCTTTCAGCCGCGTTCCTTCTCCTGCAGCTCTGTTTTGCTTTCCTCACAAACAGATAGCATGAGTCATTTCCCCCTCTGATTCCACTCCCACCGACTTTCTCAAAGAGCTCCTTGATAGACGCGGCCCACTCGTTTTACACTCAGTAAAACCCTCGTTGTCCTTGGCCTCTCTTTGAGCGGAGCCAGGAGCGGGGAGTCCTGGAGAAAAAAAAAAAAAAAAAAGAACAACCTCATCCTGATCTCCTTGACCTCTGCGGCGAAACGCCCACGGCCCGCTGGACGTGGCGGGGGCCACTGGATTTTCCTCTCACTGTGATTTGTTGTGGTTCAGCCAGGGTGAAACGTTCAAAATGTTCCCCCGAAGTCCAAAAGCAGGCACGGAACTGGGTGCGGGGAGAACCACGAGCCCACCCAACGGAGCTCATCTGGCCTCAGCCGAGGCAGCGCTGATCCGATCAGCAGCTGTGGTGAAACGCCGCGCAGACGGTTGGAATCGTGTGTGGAATTTTTTTAGATTCTGGGTTTGATTAAAAATGTTGCTGCAACGGGACTTTCTAGAAGGCGGATTTGAGCAGCAACTTTCTTCCAACGACAACCGAAAGCAGCTGGGTGCCTTATAGTCACTTAGTGATCTCACATCTGACAGGTTTTGATCAATCTGTGACATTTAGCGACAAATCTATCTCTAATATTTCTTCCAGCACACCAAACCAGTCACACATCATTTCATTTACTCTGTGTAGTGACAGGCCGCATGTTCTACCTTCCTTTTTCTATGTAAGAAAACCAGGTTCTTTGTGAAAGAGTGAATATTTTCCCTCCATGTTTCTGCAGACCCATACCTTCAGGACCCCTCCAGGTGTAACCCAGGTGAGGTTTTAAAATTGAATAAAATACACAAGTAAGCAACAAGTTATTTTTTTATGTAGAACCTTCCAACAAGAGGAATCAAAGATAACATAACTATATAGCACTAACATAGCAGTGCTAACTATAAACCTGTCAGCCAATCAGAATCCTTCAAAAAAAACATGACTTCCTGTTTGGAGTTAAACGTGTTGCACAGAAGGTTCATTTGTGTGGACAGAAATATAGACTGACCTATTTTCAAATGGGGATGTTCTAACACGACTTTTCCGCTTCCGATACGATACCAATATCGCATCTTTGATTATTACCCAATATCAATATTGGCCTGATAAGATATCAGCAAGTACCAACAATATTTTTATTTACTTTGTACTGTGGAATGCTAGAAAAGGCTAAATCAAGTGACATTACTCAAACCGAGAACAGTAGTCAACAATAGATATAAAAAGAAACTGACCCATTTATTATTAACCAATGGTTCTCCGTGGGATACAAGCTCTGCTGGATAGAAATACCGGGGCGGACTAAATGCTGGAGCGGAGTACTTCTATCGGCGTGCTAATATTGCAGATTTTAGATGCAGACTGATACAAGCCGATTCTTTGTTTTTTGGCTGATATCAGACCAATTTCAGATATCAGTATCAGATTGGGACACCCTTACTTTTAAAAAGCGCATTAGAATATGAAGTTAATAAAACACAAGACAATGTTGATTTGGGACCATGACAAAGCAAGCATGTTTATATATTGGTGCATTATTCGTCACAGACTGCAGCACGTAGAACCATAAATCTCTGTTTTCCCATGTATACACCCAAACACAGTGTTTTCACAAATATCCACTTTGATCTGAGTTTTTATAAATAATCATTTTTAGTGATATAATCCTGGATGAAGGGCCAATTCACATAAAATGTATTCATTTTCCCTACTACGCTATGTTTGGACATTTATCAAACTCTGCTTTTCCATGACAGAATCCAGTCCAGACTTTCCAATGGACCCCAACAACTTCCACTGCCAGGGACCAAATGGAGGTGGGGCCCTGCCTTCTCTTCGTCTCCTTTTCTCATTTCAGACAGGAGAGAGAAAACTTATGACTGAGATTTGAAAAAGTGTTTTGTTCCTATTAACAGCCTAGTGTCGCTAATTAGCATCACACCTAAATTTGGACCAACTACAAATGGAAAATTAAAGCAGCTATCTCTAATTAATTTAGCATCTGATTGTATAATATAAATGCAGGCTTTAAGGGTCTAATGCAGTGTTTTATCAACCTTTTTTGAGCCAAGGTACATTGTTTTAATTGAAAAAATCACAAGGCACACCACCAACCAAAAATGTAAACAAAGATACTCTGGTGGTTGAAGAAAAATCCACAGAAAAACCTGTACTGGGCTATAAGCTGCATGGTTCAAATTGTAGGAAAAAAGTAGCAGTTTATAGTCTGGAAAGTACGGTAGGTGAAATTGGATAATTTCCACGGCACACCTGACGATCACTCACGGTACACTAGTGTGCCGCGGCACAGTGGTTGAAAAACACTGGTCTAATGAAATGAATGGCAAATATAACCCAATAAAAAATTTTTTTTTTTTGTTTCTAGATCGCTGCAAGTGTAAGACGGTCAAAATGGGACAGAAAACTTACGTGAACAACAACTATAACTATGGTGAGTGATTTGAGACAATATATACAAATTTTTCAAAACAAAAACCCATCAACATCCAGGCTCAAAGTTCCTCTTCCAACTCCTAATCCTTCTAAATAAAACACTCGGAGGTCCAGTAATGTATTCTGTCTTTGGGCTTGACTCGTCTATCACGTCGTATGAGAAATAATTGAGCCAATATTGGGTAAAAGTATGATAGATGTGTTTTATTTCTGTTGAAAGCATCAAATTAATTCCTGAAAGGGCAAAGTTGTTTCAGTAAGCTGGTCACTAAAAATCATTTATTTGTTTAATGTGTCTTTTAAATGAAGGTTTCGGCAAACTTTTGGTCTATTTAACATTTCACACCAGCAGGATTTGCAAACTATGTAAAAAATGTCAGTTTCACTGGACCTATATTTAACATAGTTAAATGAAACCTTATGGGGCCGACGGGGGGACCCTGAGGCACGCCCAAAGAGACCATAATATTTTGATTTGGTCAATGAAAATAAATCCTGCTCCATTGCATAGGGTTCTTATTTACCCTGGTATGGAAGGTTATTTTCAAAAGGTACTTCGAATCTGACAATCGAACCTCATTGGAACGCACATTCTAATTTCTTGACTGCATATTGGAGGGACTTTGTCCAAAAGAGAAAATTTAGTTAGGTTCTCTCGCTCTTCAGTTATCAGAGCGAGGGTGAGGGAGGTGAGAAATCGTGGCCTGGAGCCCACGGCGGTGGTGGACGTGAAGGAGGTGCTCAAGTCCTCCCTGGTCAACATTCCTAAGGAGACGCAGATGCTCTACTACTCCTCGTCCTGCCTGTGTCCTCCTCTCACCGCTGGGGAGGAGTATCTCATCATGGGCTACGAGAATGAAGAAAGGTCCAGGTACGAGTGGCATACGAGTTAAAGTAAAAGTATCATTGTAGATATCCGGACACATAAAGATGAAGCGCATTGTGAATTCACCTTGCTACTTCTGTGTCCCATTCATAGTGCTTTTGTTCTTTAACAATAACTCAAGGCCATCTTGTCCTCCTTCAATGTTTGATGCTGTAGATTACAATTGTAACGAGTCGCTCAGAAGTCCAACTGTGAACTTTACCTCTTAATGTTTCTTGTGCCTGCAGGTTGCTTCTGATTGATAGCTCCATTGCGCAAAAGTGGAGGGACAAAATGCGCAGGAAAGTCAAGGTTCGTACTGGACTTGATTATTCACAGAAGAGGCTCTCTTCAATAGCTGGTTAGCAGGCAGAGCTAACTAAGCCTCAAGTTAATGCTAATTAGAGTGGGTGGGATATCATATGGTAGTATTGTACCTAAACATACCAATCTTAATAAATTAGGATTTTTATTTTTTTTTTAAATACTAGCCCGTTTCCAATTAAGGTCATAATTGCCTGTTTGCTGGTCAGATATTGGTGGACCCTGAGTATTCGTGTGGGTTAGGGTTAGGGTAAGGGGATATAGGATGAAAACCAGAAAATGAGTTGGATCACTGAAAATAACTTCCAAAAACTAAGAGCTAGGGGGACC